GTTCTATTAGTCGAAGACCTTCAATATAATTTCTGATAATCCGGAAGAATTCCTGATCACTTTGATATGATGAGGAAATATACAAAGACCTCGAATTCAATTTCCGATCAGTAATTGGTCTTTTTTATAATTTCTGCTCATTCGGAAGAATTCCTTATAAATCTGATATGATGAGGGAATATTTGGGGAACTCAATTTTAATTTCCAATTAGCCGTATGTGTTTGATATAATTTCTGATAATTCGGAAGTATAGCCGATCAACCTGATATGATAAAGATATACCTATATGGAAAAATCGATGACAATTCTTCTATAAGTCGAAGGCCCTGAATATGATTTCTGATAATTCGGAAGAATTCATTATCACTTTGCTAGGGTGTATATGGATCATTCGATTTCAATTTCCGATCAGTCGTAGGTCTTCGATATAATTTCTGATAATTCGGAAGATGTCCTGATAAAACTCGATTTCAATTTCCCACCATTCGTAGGTATTCGATACAATTTTTGGTCACACGAAAGAATTCCTGATCAATTTGATATGGTAAGGGCATAAGGACAACTCGATTTCAATTTCTGATCAGGAAGTTTTTTTTAATAATTTCTGATAATTTGAAAGAATTCCTGATCAACCTGATTTGATTGAGATATATATGGAAACTTGGTTGCAATTGTTCTATTAGTCGAAGACCTTCAATATAATTTCTGATAATCCGGAAGAATTTCTGAACACTTTGATATGGTACATAGGGTACACATTATGGTGAAATCGATTTCAATTTCCAATCAGTCATAGGGTTTCCATATAACTTCTGATAATTCGGTGAAATTTCGAAATAATTCCTGATCATCCTTGTATTTTGAAATACATTCGAACTGCCCGAAGATCTTCAGAAGGATTTCTGATTAATTTGATATGTTGATGGAATATATGGAGAACTCAATTTCAATTTCCAATAAGTCATACGTGTTCGATATTAATTCTGATAATTTGGAAGAAATCCTGATCAATTTGATGTGATGAGGGAACATATGGAGAACTCGATTTCATTTTCCGATCTAATTTCTTATTATTCGGAATAATTCCTGATAATTCCAATATGATATGATCAAGGAATTAATTGAGAATTTGATTTCAATTTCCAATCAATCGAAGGGTTTCCATATAACTTTTGATAGTTTTAGAGAATTTCTGACCATCCTTGTATTTTGAAATATATTCTAACTGCCCGAATGTCTACAGAAGGATTTCTGATCAATTTGATGTGTTGATGGAATATATGGAGAACTCATTTTCAATTTCCGATTAGTCATACGTTTTATATATAATTTCTGATTATTCGGAAGAATTATTGATCAATTTGATGTGATGAGGGAATATGCAGGATTCGATTTCAATTCCCCATAAGTCGTAAGTCTTCGATAGATAAGATAAGATTTTGAAGAACTCCTGTTCAGTTTGATATGATGAAAGAATATATGGAGATCTCAATTTCAATTGACATTTCGGAAGAATTCCTGATCAATTTGATATGATGAGCGAACTAGCGAAAAAGGACTCGTGGATCTACGAACATGTGATCCGGTAGCAAAGGAACAAGAAAATGTCGCAACGTGGTAAAACAAATGCGTAATTGCTTATTGCTTATTTACTATGTCCGTGACGAATTTACAGCGAGAATGTTTGGCGCATGGTTTGGAAATTGAAAAACCATGCTACAAATTTTCGAAAATCATATGTTTATGTATACCATCATGTTGTGCATAGTCTGCAGAATGTCCTGGTATAAAAATATGGTATACTTTCTTGGGAAATTCCCGGGAAAACATAGGCGCAAGATTGCATTTCCTTGCGCGCACATATACACTCACGTGCATATTCTCTTTGGGTGGAAATGCCACTTTCCCGGAAAAAGCACACCACTTGAAGTTGAATGCACTTTTCCACCCAAATTTTACCCCACTAGGAAAACAAAATCCTTGGCTACAATCGGACGGAATTTGTTTTCCGATATTCGCTTTCCTTCACAGGATTTTCGGGACGTTTCCTGGAAAACAACCCAAATCACAGACAAACGGCTCAAAATGTCCGAACGATGGCCTTAATGCCATTTGGATTAATGCAATCAACTTTTGAACCTTATTTGACTGCATTTGTACAATTCGTAATAGTTGTATGGTCAATAGTCCATATACGTCTTCATAATCGGCTTTGTAAACTTCAAAACACTTGTTCTCAAAAAACCCAAGATGAAATATTTTAAAACCATCACAGATTTGATTGTTAGGATCAATACTAACATCCTGTGAAGAAAAATCTGAGGTACATGAATGTTGCAAAAAAAGTGCCTTCAGACATAGCGTGTGTTGTCTCTGTACCAGTATAACACCGGCCGCGCGTAGTGGCCAAAATAGCGTCTCGCCTCCGTGAGACCCCAGGAAGGGTAGGAGGCGCTTCTGGAGGCACTCGTCCGGTAGATTTGCCCATTGATTGTACCCGTCATGATATACCAACCAAGAGCTTTTTAGCGAATTTATCCACCTTCTTCTTCCTTACCTCCTCGGCCAACCGTGATTTGGCAACGTAAAACTCCTGCCCCGGCAACTACTTTTTGTCCGCCTTGATGTAAGTCTCGTCGTCCATCACGATGCACCCCGGTTTTGTCATCTACTCCCGGTACAGCTTTCTGGCGTGGGATTTGGTCACCGTGTTTTGTTTGTCGTTCCGGTTAGGTGCCTTCCGCACCCTGTAGACGTGGATGCCGGCACGTTTCATAGTTTTTGGACAAACCAGCTGGAAACATCCGCCATCTTCGCCGCATCGCGATTCAAAAGATTCGGCCGCCGCTTGAACAGACTCCACACCTTCATCGGGTCAGCTGTCTTCGATTTTCTGCCGCAGTCTGCCCGCGGCTGGTTCGTTTGGGTCTCCTTGAATGACTTCACCACCCGAGAAATCGTCGAATGAAGGAGATTCCCAGGTGTTTTCCGATCCATCTGTGAGACGCATTCGGGTTTCCACTACGGCGCACAAGATTTGTTAGTGCATCTACTCGTGCTCCGATGCCATCTCGATAACCACTTGACAGATTGTGATGAAATTCTGCCTGTTACATACTAATCAATGTGTCTCTCTTTTTTCGAGTACAGTCTTTATTCAATCTAAATTTACTTAGGGTAGAGAACTACTTCGGCCTAATCGCCCATTTTGGGCCTATCGAGCAGAAAACTTCAAATAAATCCATGATTTCAGAGTTAACAAGTCAATTATGCGTTTGGTACGATACTTTAGTTAGTAAGCTACCGAACGAAGTCAATGAGAACTCGTGATATGATGGTTTGCAACCATTATTCCCAAAAACAAAAGAAGCGCTCCGACCGAATCAATTTTTATCTTCATCCGATAGGCCGAAGTGAATTCATTGGCGTTTCAATGCGTTAGGCCGAGTTTAGAATCCGTAGGCCGAGTTTGGCGTCAAGAAGCAGTGTTAGACTTTTGCCAATATCTCAACGATTGGTTTCTCTTTATCAAATCTTGCGGTACGTCCGGAAAGGTAAATAAATTTGGAAACCATCAGTAATAATAACATTCCTTTTGGTGCTAAACTGCGCTAGATTAAGAAAGACTAAGTGCGGGTTGTGCTTAATAGGCCGGAAATGGGGTAGTTAACGCTATTACTATCACAGTTATAAGGTTTTATAATCATAAGTGATGAAATGAATTTGTTTGTTTAATAACACAATTTTACTGTTTTGTTATAAAACATACCTGTGGGGAACAGTGAGACATGACAATGATAACGTGTAACCTTTTTGTAAGAAGGGCAAAAAGTATTCTTTATACAAGGAACGTCAACTACGTCACGCAAAATGCAAATTTTCAAGTCCCCTTCCCCTTTGTCACGTTTTTGTATGGACCTTAACATGAAATTTGCCGTAACAACGCTTTAACTGATCATTTTCCGCTGCATAAAAAGCCAAGAGGCAAATATCATACGTTGCCGTAACCTTGGCTGCGAGCATTCAAGTACATCAGTTCGCCTTTTGAGCACAACTTTAGAAAGAAGCCAGATGAGGGCGTGAAATGTAGAAAGGGGCTTTCCTGCTCTGAATTAGCGCACCCATTGACAGGTATTTCCTAGAATTAAACTTTTTTGGAAATAATAATCACCAAATCTTCTAGTTCACATATTTCTTCTTGTCACTGAGATAGACAGCGCTGGCATATGGTCCTTGCTCCTATGCAGCAAAATGTGTAGTTCTCGGAAATCGTGCTCATTAGATCTCTCATTCTGGCTTCAAACTTAGTTCAAATAATACTAAACATAAATTTTGTGGTTGGAATGCTATTTTATCAGCATGTTGGCAAAATGGAGAACACGACCCAGCTTTGCATTCCAGTTCGACTATCTTAGATGAGGAAAATCCTTTCAAATAATGAATAGCACTCCTGTTCCATGACGACTGGCATGGCATTCACAGGCCCCACCTACCCAAGCAAACCGATTGACCAGAGGGAAGTGAAAGGAGTTTCAGAAACGAGACAAAAGTATACAAATAGTCGGGTAACCGAATTCCTGCCTTCGAGGTCATCACACTACATCAGAAACTCAATTGGTTGATAGCTCTGTGTACGGTTAATTTTAAGTGGATGAGGGGGGAACATGCATAAATGACGTAGTATTTGAGGGGGGAGGCGTTTCAGTAGTTGTGGCCGGCTATGTATTAGGAATAGTAAAATACGCTACAAGGAGCTGGGGGAGGTTTAAAATTAGTAAAATTAAAGAACTTCATGTATGGATGATCCCTTACTGGCAAGCCAATGCTCAGCCAATTTTCAGTGCAGGAAAAACTTCATTGAATAAAACAACAACAGATTGCTATGTGGGTCTGAACACAGAATAAGGACGATGCCGTTTGAAGTTTCATATCATACTTAATACGTGACTCAGTGGTCGTTTTTTAGACTAATGTATTGTCCCGTTTTTCGTGTTTTCAGGCACTTGTCATGGACCACTCGGAGCATCACGACTATACTCACCACATGAACCAATCAGCCGGAAGTGAAATGCACGACGAGCACGAAGGACACCACGGATCGATGGAGCACAGCTTGCAGGATCACACGATGGACCAGGGAGCCGCAGCCCACGGAGGTGGTCATGCCGGACATAGTGGCATGATGCATCAGATGATGTCAATGGCGGTAAGAATTGAGTTTACAATTAGATTCTGCTCACGTCTATTCGCATTCGTACCCATTCATTCAATCTCGTTTTAATGTTTTCGTTCAATAGTTCCACGGGGGCTACAATGAGACGATCCTGTTCGACCAGTGGAAAATCGACAGCCTGTCCGGGCTGCTGTGGTCCATGTTGCTTATTTTCATCATGGCGGCGCTGTACGAGGGACTCAAATACTACCGGGAGTATCTATTCTGGAAGACCTACAATGCACTGCAGTATCGGCCCGTAACGGTGACGGAGAAGAATCCCGTAAACGGCACCGTTGGGAACAACAATGAAAGTGCGACGAATGGTGGCGGCAGCGGTGACGACGCCTCCCGAGTTGTTCAGTGAGTATCGTCGTGGCGGCTGGGATGGTTGGTACATGGATATGGCCCACGTGCTTTACGGGGTTTGATCACAGACAAATGAACCAAGCGCGGAATGTGTGAGGTCCGTAATTTATCCTAAAGTATTCCTTGAATTAGCCCGAGAAGAACTAGATTTGTATCTGAAATTTGAATATGGAATTTGCCGGCAATATCTCCTAGACCAGTGTTTCTCAATCTATAGGTGCATCGTGGGCTGCCCTCAGGTGGGTCGCATAAATTCAGGCAACTTGATGATAGGTTTTTTTTTAATTGCATGCAGCATTTATGTGATTTTAAAATTATGCTGAAATATTCAATGTCATGGCCGTTTCGGCATTATACAGCCAGATTGGAAAGTCTAGGCCATTTTGACAATTTATGGCGTTTTTAGGGCCATTTTAACGTTTTATGATTATTATGAGAGTTGTCAGTTTTAGGTTGTTGGTGATGTTCTAGACCAATGTGACGTTTTTACAGCAATTCTAGGCCGTTTTAATCTTGTTTAGCCAGGTTATTACTGTATTCCAAAACCTCAAAAACTGTCTTCGTAGTTTATGAACATGCATTATTTTTCTTATACGAATATTTTACCGGCCTCAACTTAGTATTCTTGATGCACTTCCATAGTTATCAATTGAGAGCTTTCTATGCCAACCACTGCATGAATTTGTATATTTTGTGCAGTGTTCGGAAAATCATTTTCAAATCTTATTATTTAAGCTCGCCTGAAGAATAAATTCGCGTGTTAATTTGCAAACCAAAACTCACGATTGAGATTAACATGCATTTTTGCGCATTCACACTCAGATTGTCAAAAATTCTTTCTAAAGTAAAATTCATACAAACCGCTCAAACGTCAATCGATTACATGCAGATGTGTCTTTTGTTAGTTTTCCATAATGCAATAAACACATAGAACAAAGACAAAATGCCAAAATATAAAGCAATTAATTTTTGAATCAGAAGTCTCAATGATGGTGAATTAAGAACAAATTTGGTAGAATCCACAAATGGCCGTTATCATGGCTGATTTGCCTTGTAAATCATTGTGCCATTTGTGGATTCTATCAATCTTGTCCTTAGTTGTATTTCGCATTCCAAAATTCGTAGGCGTATAAACTCATGCACAGCGAATCCAAACACATAAAGCAACCAACGAACGATACAGACAAAACGGTTGCTACGACTACCATGACGCTCTGTAACAAAGCTCGATCGGAGTGGTGGAGACATAACAAAAAAATAATCCCATTAACACACGTGTATCATCTTTGGCTTTACTTCGTGAAGCAGCTTGCAAACAATTTGCTCGTTTCCTTCTACCGCCCCGAGTGAGCTGTGTCGCACGGGCTGCTTGTCATGAAAAAAGGAAGAAGATTATATCATTATTTCTTTCCAGTTCTGACATAGCGCTATCATTCGATTCGTTGATCGCTTGTCATTTTGTCAGTTAAAGACATTTTTAATTCCTGGCTCATGCATTAGATTTGAATTTTTGAGCATTTCTGAACACTGATTTGTTGGCAAGCACAATGAGGGATGTCGAGAAAATTCTCAACTTATAAGATTTCCTCAACCGGACCGGGAATCGAGCCCACCACCTCCGGCTTGGTAATACCGTGCCTTTACTGAGTTTATTATAGAATTTTGAGAAAAAAATTCAATGGAATTTTGATGAAATTTCCAACGAAAATTTGATGAAATTTTCAACGGAATTTTAAGCAGAATTCTCATGATAATGAAAAAATAAGAAATTTTGTTGGATGAATTCCAACAATATTTACACAGGACATTTTGACAAAAACTTCAAGTTATGACACTGATGGTGACTGCATAGTGCACATTTTAGTCGAAATTCGTATCTAATATGGATATAAAATACTTAGTGGAAATTTATCTCTTTTTTTTTCGCTCTTATATTTATTCCACTAACAGCCCAAATCAACACTTTTAGTCCAATGGCAGCCTGACAAGAATTTCAAATGAATTCTGATAGCACTACAATAGGTCTTGGTAACTTCAAGCCCAACTCCAATTCTGATACACTGAAACCTCCGTTTACGAAGTCTTTTTTACGCAGTATTCAATTTACGTCCCTCTTTTTACGAAGTAAATCCCAAATAACGAGGTTTTTTTTTTACGAAGTAAATTCCAAATAACGAGTTTTTTTTTCTTGTGATTTTGGGAAACTGGGATATACCGTGAAATACCCCACAATATGGGTCTTGTTAGAATCGGAGTGACGTATAGGGACCGTAAATCGATATGTGACGCCATTTTGAAATTAAAGATGGCGGCTTCCGGTTACAGGAAAACATGGAAATTCTGTCAAATACCCCACAATATGGGAATTTTTGCAATCGGAGTGACGTGTAGGGACCGGAAATCGACATCTGACGCCATTTTGGAATCCAAGATGGTGGCTTCCGGTTACATAAAAACTTGGAAATTCTGTCATATACCCCACAATATGGGTATTTTTGGAATCATGGTGATGTGCAGGAACCGGAAATCGATATCTGACGCCATTTTGGAATCCAAGATGGTGGCTTCCGGTTACATAAAAACTTGGAAATTCTGTCATATAGCCCACAATATGGGTATTTTTGGATTCGGAGTGAGGTGTAGGGATCGGAAATCAATGTCTGACTCCATTTTGAAATCCAAGATGGCGACTTCCGGTTAGGGGCTGCCCGTAAACTACGTAGACAGTTTAGGGGGGGGGGGGGTTGACAATTATCCACGGCCCATACAAATTTTAATTTTTTTGTAAGGACAATTGTCTACTCAGGGGGAGGGGGGGGGGTCAATAATCCCAAAAAAACTGTCTACGTAGTTTATGAACAGGCCCTTACATAAAAAGTTGGAAATTTTGCAAAATACCCCACAATATGGGTATTTTTGGAATCGGATTGTCGTGTAGGGACTGGAAATCGATATGTGACGCCATTTTGAAATCCAAGATGGTGGCTTCCGGTTACATAAAAACATGGAAATTCTGTCATATACCCCACAATATGGGTATTTTTGGAATCAGGGTGATGTGCAGGGACCAGAAATCGATATCTGACGCCATTTTGAAATCCAAGATGGTGGCTTCCGGTTACATAAAAACATGGAAATTCTGTCATATACCCCACAATATGGGTATTTTTGGAATCAGGGTGATGTGCAGGGACCAGAAATCGATATCTGACGCCATTTTGGAATCCAAGATGGTGGCTTCCGGTTACATAAAAACTTGGAAATTCTGTCATATACCCCACAATATGGGTATTTTTGGATTCGGAGTGAGGTGTAGGGATCGGAAATCAATGTCTGACTCCATTTTGAAATCCAAGATGGCGACTTCCGGTTACATAAAAAGTTGGAAATTTTGCAAAATACCCCACAATATGGGTATTTTTGGAATCGGATTGTCGTTTAGGGACTGGAAATCGATGTGTGACGCCATTTTGAAATCCAAGATGGCGGCTTCCGGTTACATCAAAACAGAAAAATAATGTTAAATAACCCACAACATGGGTATCTTAAGAATCGGTGTGACGTGTAAGGACCGGAGGGCCATCTTGGATTTCAAAATGGTATCAGACATCGATTTACGGTCCCTACACGTCACCCTGATTCCAAAAATACCCATATTGTGGGGTATTTGACAATATATTTAAAAACCTCTTTTTACGAAGTAAATCCCAAATAACAAGTTTTCTTTTTACGAAGTAAATCCCAAATAACGAGGTTTTTTAAAGCACTAATTCGATTTACGATTCCAATGAAATTCGAAGCAAAATTACAAAGAAATTTTGGGAGCATTCCATTAGAATTTTGGAGAATGCTGAAGAAAATTTCTAAGAAATTTTCAGGAGAATATAATTGGAAATTTTGTGGAGGATTCCAACAACCGAATTTTGGAAAAGCGCTTAAAGGAATGCTGAGGGGGGAGTCCAGGGAATTCACAGGAGAATTCCAAGATAGTTCTGAGCAGAATTCCACGGCAGACAATCCAAGGGAATTACGAGAAAGATTCCAAGGAAAATAACTAAGAACTTCTGGAAGCATAACAATGGAATTTTGAAAAATGCTGAAGAGAATTTCCAAGCAATTTCCAGAAGTATTTCAATGAATTTCCAGGAAATTTTGTGGAGAATTCCAACCGTATTTTGCAATAATACTTAAAGGAATGCTAAGGAGAGTTCCGGGTATTCTCAGGAGAATTCCAAGATAATTCTGAGCATGATTCCAAGGCAGACGAATCAGTCATAGACTGAAAGTCTCGATGATGGAGTTAAATCAAAACATTCAAGACAATTCTGTGGGCATTCCCTTGGCAATTGTGGGAATTCTGAGAAATATTTCAAGAGAATGTTGTTGAGCATTATCGAGAACAATTTGAGACAGCTTTTGCCAAAGGGATTAGGAATTGGAAGAGCATTGTAGAGTGAATTTAAAGGGAAATTTTGACAAGAACTCGTAGAAAACTGTGGGATGATCGCGCACCGTTGTGTTATTTTATAAATCAAAAGACGAACGATTGTCTGGCCGCCCTGCCATGGCGGAGGCATACGATATTATATTGATATTGAAAATGGATACAATACACTGAAAATGATACATTTATTCCACTACCACCGGCACCTGTTTGTGTAGTGTATATCAGGACGGCTGGTACGGTAGGTACACACTTAGTGGATAGTTGCACAAACAGTGGGATTATTCAAAGATAATTCTTGAGAAAATTCCAAGCACATAGGAAACTTTTAAGGTAATTCAGGCATAGGATTGTGAAATTTAAAATATTTTTGCAAGACTTTTGTGGTCTCAAATTTGAAGAAAAAAAAGGATGCGATGGACGTGGAAAAGCAATTAATTTAATTACAATTATTTTTGTTGATTAATATATTTGTACAGGCTCAATCAAATAAACTTTACACAGCCACGTTATCATTTTTGTTATACATTATTAATGTCTTAAATCTAAA